CTACCATCCATTTTCAGTTGAGAGACTTGTCCAAAGGCCTTATACCCTTCACTAAGTAGTTAAGACAATAGCAAAACTTCTGGAAAGAGTAATCTATGGTTGTAGACTCTGCTTCTCACAACTAAAACTGTCCTCCCCTTGTTCCACTTGGGCTCAGTTCCCACCACTTCACGGAAACTGCTATTTTTGTCAAGTTCACAGACAACTTCCATGTTGGCAAACCCAACGGTTACTTCTCAGTTCTCATCTTACTTAACTTCTCATATTTGACCAGGCTGACCCCACCGGTCCTGAAACTTCTGGTTTCAGCAAGACCGCACTGTTTCTTTTTAACTTCTAAAGTCTCCAAAGCCTCTACATGTTCATGAGTACCAAATTCTTATCTCTAGCCCCAACCTTTCCACCAAACTCCAGGCTCACATCTCTAGCCTACTCCCGTGATACATCCATTTGATGCCCAAAGCATTTCAGAATGAACATGCCCAAAACAGAACTCCTGATTTCCTACTCCTTCCACCCAGTCGGCTGCGTCTCTGTAAATGACATGATTATCACGTCATTTTGCTCAAGCCAAAAACTTAGCAGTCACCCTTTGCTCCTTTATTCCTCCCCTCCATCTAATCCATCAGTAAATTACCTAAATTCATTCTCCAAAGTATCCCAAATGCACCCCTTCTCTCCACCTTCCCTGCCATCACCCTGACTCAAGCCACACCCTCTCTCTAACCTGCAACGCCTTCCTGACTCATTTCGTACCCTTACCTCTTACAATCCTTTCTTCACAGAGCGATGGGTGACCTTTGTACCCGCTAACTCAGATCGGGTCATCCCCCCACCTTAAAACCTCTGAACAGCTCCCCATAATCCAAAGTCCTCCCCCATCCTACAAGGCCCTAACGGGCTTTGACTCCTCACTACCTCTAAAAACTCACTGCCAAGCTCTCTTCCGCCTTCAGGACGGGACCGTGCACCAGCTCCTCCCCTCTGCCTGTGCTGCTGTCCCCCAAACTCCATGTGGTTGCTTCCTTCTTATGTCATACGGGTCTCGAGGTAAGTATTACCTCCTCAGGCCTTGTCTTAGAGCTAATCTAAAGCAGCTGCTCAGGCACTCCTTACATAACACCCTGCTTTGTTTCCATCGCAGCTTTTATCATTCCCCCCAAATTTTCTTCTTTCTTTCTTTTTTGGTTTACTTGCCTGTTATCTGCCTCTACCTATCCCTAGCTCCCACTAAAGTGCCTGGTACAAGGAAGTTTTTTGATGTGTCTTGAATAATGAACTGTCATAAGTTCTCTCTTGCATTCTCTTACCTATGCTCAGAAAATTTCAGAAACCACAGCCATTCACTCATTTTTTAAAAACTCTAAAAGGATAAGATGCTTCCTTTTCTTTTCCTTGGAAAAACTATACATCTGTGCTATTCATTCATTCATTCACGCATTCACTCAACAAACTATTATAGACAAACATTACAAATAGGATACAATCCCTACCCTCAAGGAATTCATGGCCTAGTTGTGGAGGCAAACATGTCAACACATCATTATGAATATCACTTGATAAGTAAAAGATAGAAATTGCTTGAGGACTATGGAGAGTCTAACAATATTCGAGACTGGAAAAACAGGCAGTAACCAGACAGTGAAGGCTCAGCATGTTTAAGGAGTTTGAACTCATAGGGCAAAGTGGTGACAGAAATATTTGAGGAGGGAACTAGCACGGTCAGAGTTGCACTTCAGATAGACCATTCTCTGATTGCACAGAAGATACAACTTAGGCTGTATGGGTCTCGTCAAAGGCTGGTAAGAATAGTAAGAATGCAAAGAAGAGGACTCAGAATCAAGAAGCATTTAGGAGGTAAAATGGGCACGGCTTGGTGATTATTTGGGAGATACATATATATATATATGAGAGAGAGAGAGATACACAGCAAAAGAGGTGGAGGGATGGGAAGAGAACAACCACCGTAAGCTGATATGTTAGTGCACAGGTTCTAGAGTCAGACAGATAAGGGTTTAAATCTTGGTTCGGTCACTTACTTGCTGTATGACATTAACATCCTTAAGCTTCAATTTCCTTGTAAGTTAAATAGAAACAATATGACAACTAACCTCAAAGGGTCATTGTATGAAATCACGTATGCAAACTGCTTAGCATAGCGCCTGCTATATCAGAAACCTCCATGAATTGTTAAGGGGTTTTAAAATTACAGATCCTCCTCGACTTACAATGGGGTTACGTCTCAAGAAACCCATCGTAAGTTGAAAATATCATAAGTCGAAAATGCATAACCTAACAAACATCACAGCTTATCCTAGCCTACCTTAAACGTGCTCAGAACATTTACATTAGCCTACGGTTGGGCAAAACCATCTAACACAAAGCCTATTTTAAAATAAAGTATTGAAAACGTCATGTAATTTGTGGAACACCTTACTGGAAGTAAAAAACAGAATGGCTGTAACTGTATCAGTTGTTGACTCTCCTATCATGCCTCACGGGGAGCTGTGGGTCACTGTCTCTGCCCAGCATCATGAGAGAGGATGGTCCCACATACTGCTAGCCTGGGAAGAGATCTAAATTCAAAGTAAGGTTTCTACTGGATGCTATTGCTTTCACAACATTGTAAAGCCAAAAAATCGTAAGTCGAACCACTGTCATTGGGGACCATCTGTATTACCAATCTACCTGAATCTGTGATCATATACCTACTTTTTCTCCAATGCTATGGATGAACTGTCCATGCTTCTAGACAAGGCCAATCCCTCTACTTGTGGGTAAGAGCCCATCCCTTCTTGCCTACATCCTTACATCCATTCCCTCTCTCTCCTACATCATCCATTCTGCCCTCTCTACTGAATCACTCCTTTAAATAAACACATATACAGTTAATTCTCCCATTAAAAAATAGAAAACCTTCTCTTGACCCAACTTCCTTTTAGCTACCACCTTAGCTCCTTCTTTTCCTTTGTGGCAAACCTCCTTGAGTCACAAATTTCTCTCCTCCCATTCTCTTCTGAATCCATTATACTGACCTTTCTTCTCCATAACTCTACTGAAGGTGTGCTTTCCCAGATCACCTCTATGTTGCTAGATCCAATGTTCACAACTTGCTTAACTTCTGAATAGGATCAGACATCGCTGACTACTCCCTTCTCCTTGAAACACTTTCATCACTCGACTCCCAGGTGACCAAACTGTCTGCAATTTCCTCCATCTCTCTGATCACCTTTTTCAGTCTCCTTTGCTTATTCCTTAACTTTCCAACCTCTAAATATGCTCAAGGCTCATCTCTCTATACTCCCTTGATAATCTCATCAAGCCTCATGGCTTTAAATGCCACCTATATGCTATTGAGTCAAAAATCCACATCTCTACTCTGGACCAATCCCCTGAAACCCTAGACTCCCATATCCAACTCCTACTCAACATCTCTACATTCAGATGACTAACACGTCTCTCAAGCTTAATGTGCCCAAAACTGAGCTTCCAATGCTGCCCCCGCAATCTGCTCCTTCCCAGTGTTCCCTGTATCAGTACGGAAACTTCATTCTTGGCATAACTTCTAGCTATGACTTAGTAGCTTGAATCAAACCAACACTTCTATAGGAATTAGGAATATCTGTTGCTGAAAAGAAAAATAAAACCAAAGGTAAGAGTAAAACAAAAACCAAGAAAAGCTGAAAAAACAAAACAAAACAAAAACCACACAGGCGATTTGAAGGCACTGGAGAGCAACCAAGCCAGTGAGGACATAAGGGATTGGGATCCCAGGGGGAAGAAAAATACATAGTGATAGAGAACTTCTCCATTGCTTTTTCTCCTGGGGCATTTACTGAGTTTCTGAGCACAGCACTTAGTGCAAGCAGAAAGCAGTGACCCAGAAGTGTCAGGAGGCTTTCAGATCTGGGAAGATACAAGCTAGAGTTGAGAACTTTCGACAGGTCTTGAAGGGACAAGACCCCAGAGATAGGGGGACCACAGAGAAGGAAATTGGACAATTTGCTTGACAATTTGCTTAATTTCCTTTTATCCTTGAGACATTTGGTTAATTCTAATCTGCAAGGACACTAGAAATCAAGATACCAAGCAGGTGCTAAGTGGTCAAAAAGCTAAGTAGACCTTTCCACAATCTCACAGAGCTGGGAATACAAACTTACAGAGTTCAAGGCCCCCCAAGATGGGGACCCATTAAAATGCTAGGTTTTCTGTTGAGATTCTTAGAGGCCTATGGTCTGGAATAAGGGAAAACCAGAAATCGATCAGTCCTCCCAAAGCCTGAATCCTTTATTAAATGTCAACTCTGCCAGCTGAGTAAAATTAAATCCTCTGAAGAAAAACAACATAAGCCAGAGCGTCTCTGCATTTTTTTCTACACAATGCCCGACATTTAATCAAAACCCTTAGAGTCATCTTTAACTCGTTTCTTTCTCTAGCCCCCCACTTCTAGTCCATCTGTTTCTATGCACATCAGACACAATTTAAATGTCACTTTCTCCTTTGGCCCATTCAGAAACCACCTCAAAATTAAGAGATCAGACCTAAAATCTTCATTCAGTGTTTTTACCTCTCGCATTTACCATATACTTTTATGTTAGTGTTTATACAATGCCTACATCTGCTTTAGACCATAAGCTTCAAAGCACAGGAGGGATCTCGATCTTAATAGAATGCCTTATCATTTACCAGATACAGTTCTACCAATTTTACTCTTAACTCTTTTAATCCTCATGACAAACTCTTAAGAGATAAATTCTATTACCCCTATTTTGCAAATTATCAAGATGAAGCACAAAAACATTACCTTGCCAGAGGTTACAGGGCTAGTACGTTGCAGAACCTGCATTTAAATCCACACAGCACTTAACTGAATTGAAGAACGCAAACGCAAATGCAAATAACCGATCGCTCAGGGATGCCTAAACTTCACTTACACAAACCAATATTCCTACATTGCCAGTACTAAAACCAATCCATTGCGTTTCTAAGGGCAGACTCACCCCATGATGCTTCATTCTTCAGGGCAAAGGGGGCCTAAAAGACTCAAGAAAGTGCCCACCCTTTCCCAAAATGAGACGTCGGTGGGGCAGGCCTTCACGCTCCGTGCGCCCGAGGGTCCCTTGTAGGACTAGCAACAGAGCGGTAAGCAGAGAAGGCGGAGAATGCAGACCAGCTGCGGAGGACGGCGGCAGGCGGCCCCTGGGGCGGGAGAGGTGGCGGTGCTGGGAGGCACCAGGGAAGCCCTGGCCCGGCCCTGGCACGTAACAGAGGTAGGAGCCCGGGTGCCACGCGTGTGCGACCGTAGGTGGACAGCCCGAAGTAGAGGCGCGGCGTCAGTGCCGGGAGAAGCAGCCGAGGGCGGCCCCCGAGGAACGAGGCCTGGGAGAACGGCGCCAACACAGGCCCCGCAAAGCCACACTCAAAAGTGGGACCGGGGACCACTGCCGTCCTCCTCAAGCCTCCGCGGGGGTCTGCCACGCCCGCCTCCTTCACGCGCAGGTGCATCTACAAGGTAGACTTGGGTGGGCGGAGTCAAGACCGGAAATGCCCCGGCGCACTGGTCTTCCCCCGAAACCCTCCAGCAGGAACTTCCCTGAGGTCCCGCTTCCAGCCGGAACGCTGGGTTGCTGGGCAACCGGTGCGGGTGGCGCCGGCGGGCTCAGTGCTGCACCGAGTAAGCCGAGTGTAGCTCCCACCTCCTGCCCTGGCAACTTCCCGTCCCGCCCGCTTCCCTTCTTGCCGCCTCTCCTTTCGTCGCGGAATCCCTGCCCTTGGCACTACGTGCACCTCTCCGGCTCCCACGACACTTTTGTGGCCACCTGCTTCGAACCCAAACTTCACCGAAAGCGAAGCGGTCTGACCCTGGGCGTGGCCTGCACGTTGGCGGACCGCGCCTCTCCAGCCATGGCCACCTACACCTACACCAGCCGGCCCCGGGCCCTGCCTGGCCGGCGCCGCTGTTACCGGGACGACCAGATGCAGCAGTGAGTGAGCCAACCAACCCCTCTGTGGTCTCCACCCCCACCCCCCCACGTCCCGGGGCCGCGGGGTCCTGGCCCCTTCGCCCTGGCAAAACCTGCCTATGCTGCTTTCCCTTTTCCACGCTCTGCGAAATATAAAATTTCCTCCCCTAAAGAACTCTCCCGTGGTGTGGAGAACTGAAGCAAGAAAGGGCAAGAAATCATACTGGCATGATTGATAACATGTGGACGGAACCGACTTATTTCACTAAGTTTGAGTCAAGTGATGTTTACTGTTGGCCGACTATGTGCCATGCAAGCACCTTCTAGGGGCATTTACAGACATTTTCTTACGTAGTCCCCAGTGCTGTGACCTTGGTCTATAACTCCATTATGCAAATGAAGAAACTGAGGTAAAAAGGTGTCACACAGGGCTTCCCTGGTGGCGCAGTGGTTGAGAGTCCGCCTGCCGATGCAGGGGACACGGGTTCGTGCCCCGGTCCGGGAGGATCCCACATGCCGCAGAGCGGCTGGGCCCGTGAGCCATGGCCGCCGAGCCTGCGCGTCTGGAGCCTGTGCTCCGCAACGGGAGAGGCCACAACAGTGAGAGGCCCGCGTACAGCAAAAAAAAAAGGTGTCACACACAATAGCGTGTCCAAAATGGGAGCCAACTAAAGCTGTTTCCACAGCAGTCTTTGGACAGGAATCAGGTTATCCTAACATGCTGGACCCCAAATTGTACTTTTACATTCATCAGTATTTTCAAATATTCAAATATCCATATTTGGAAAGGGCGTTAAACGTTATGGTTCTCTTAAAGTTCTTGCCGTAAGCCTCAAATTTTGGAATCAGCAGAACTTTACAAGAATTCAGGCTCCATGCAAGCAGGAACCTTTGTGACTTTTGTTCACTTAAGACTCTGCCTGACACATAGCACTCAACACAAATTGTTGAATTAATGGCTGAACAGGAGCAGTGTAGCTCTTGATGCTTATTTCAAACAGAGTCTAAATTCATAATTATCTTATTCTGACAATAAAGACTTTTTTTTTTTTTTTCTTTTTTGCTGTACGCGGGCCTCTCACTGTTGTGGCCTCTCCCATTGCGGAGCACAGGCTCCGGACGCGCAGGCTCAGCGGCCATGGCTCACGGGCCCAGCCACTCCGCGGCACGTGGGATCTTCCCGGACCGGGGCACGAACCCGCGTCCCCTGCATCGACAGGCGGACTCCCAACCACTGCGCCACCAGGGAGGCCCAAGACTTCTTTTATAATAAATGTCTACCACTTTAAGAAAGCCAAAACAAGGAAATTTAAATTTAAATTATTTATATTATAAAAGGATTCAATTTTAAAAGGGACTCCTTTGAGAAATACTTCCTGGTGCCTTTAAGTGGTTGCTTACAAATCCTTCCTATTAAATCACACCAACAGTTGAAATAAGAATCAATGGTGGTTCATTAGGAACAATTTCTTTTTTTTTATAGAGTTGGTTGATTGGTATATTCAAGTAATCTGTTGATTCAAGCCTTTGGAAGGAGTTCTTTTATATTATGTCTTTGATTTTTCAGTTTAAAATTATCCTTATTGGTGATTTTCAATTTATAAAAGTAATATATGCTTGTTGAAGCAAATGAAGAATACAAAATAAGGGGGAATAAAGGCAGAGTTAATTATCTCCCACCGACCTCTACTCCCACTTTCTTGTTGTAACCAAATTTAACAATCTTGGGCTTCCCTGGTGGCGCAGTGGTTAAGAATCCGCCTGCCAACGCAGGGGACATGGGTTCGATCCTCCCCTGGTCCGGGAAGATCCCACATGCCGCAGAGCAGGTAAGCCCGTGCGCCACACCTACTGAGCCTGCGCTCTAGAGCCCGTGAGCCACAACTACTGAGCCCACACACCACAACTACTGAAGCCTGCGCGCCTAGAGCCCGTGCTCCGCAGCAAGAGAAGCCACAGCAATGAGCCCATGCACCACAACGAAGAGTAGCCCCCGCTCACCACAACTAGAGAAAGCCCGTGCACAGCAAAGAAGACCCAATGCAGCCAAAATAAATAAATTTTTGAAAAATCTTATTCTTCCACACCTCCTTGCTTGTTCACTCATACAGGAGCATATGCACATATGTATAGAAGGTTTATTTCCAAAGTAGAATCATACTACACACATTAATCTGCAGTTGGCTTCCCCCTATTTTATAAGCTCTAATTCCTTTTTTCCCTCATTTTTTTATGTATACATGCACATACATATCTAATCTTTTAATAATTATCCTATCACTCATGCCTGTGGGTTTTCTTAGTACAGCCTTATTCCCCAGCCCCTTCCCTTGCAAACCTACTCTCCCTCTCCTGCCCCCAAACCATGTTAATGACTTTGAATGAATACTTCTGTACTTTTCTCCAGGCTCACATGTTTATGTACACGTGTATAAATATATACATACACATACACAGCTACAAGGGCTTTACTTCATAGCAGTGGTAACATACACAGTTCTCAACATCTTCCTTCACTCACTTAATTCTTTGTGGATATTCCTCCAATTATTTTTAATAGCAGCATGATATCCCCTGATACCATATGTTATTAAAATTTTCCACTATTGATAGATATTAAGTTCACTTCAAGTTTTTAACCACAAAGAAGAAAGTTTCAGTAAATAGCCTTATGTACTGGCTTTTATATATCTATGAGGCAGATTCCCAGGGTGGGATTGTTAAGTCATGTGTTTTTTTAATACAGACAAATGGAACAAAATATCTTTCCTCCAGAAATGTTTAAACGTATCCTTTTTCCCACATCCTCTCCAGCAATAGGTGTTATGGACTTTTTTTTCTTTTTGTCTTTGATATCATAAAAACAAAACCAAAATTTATCCTCACTATCACTTTTAATTAGCACTAGGAGGCTTTAATCAAGTAAGCATTATGTTTGGATTTTTCCATTCTGAAAGATCACTGGCTACAGTGGATAGAAATGTTGGAAAGAAATGTTGTTCCACACAGTTAAGAGACTAAGAGACTTCTGCAACAGTCCCAGTAAACGATAGTGGTGGCAGTGAGCAGTGGATGGATGCCAGAAAGATTTGGGGGGTAGAATCAATAGGATTTGCTGGTTGTAGAAAATGGGGAAGAGGGAAGAGTCATGGATGACTCCCAGGCTTCTAAACCAATTGGGTGATTAGTAGTACCATTTAATGAAATAGAGAACACTACAGAAGTAACAAGTTGGAGTGGGAAAATGATAATTAGTTCAATTTTGAGGTTGCCTTTGAGACATTTGAGTGAGATGTCATCAGGCATGTCAACTGGCTGTACAGTCTGGAGCTCAGAGGAGAGTTCTGAGCTAAAGATAAAATTGGGAGTTTTAGGTATATGGACATTAAGTGAAGCCTTGAGAGTGGATGAGGTCAACTCAGGACAAGAGAAGACTGAATCATAAGGAAATTCTTCAGTGGGGGGAACTAACAAATACCTGGCTGAGAAGGGAGTCAGAGAAAAAGCAGAAGAGCGTTCAGAATAATATGGTGGTATCAGGGAGGCCTGGGATGGAGAGCACTTCAGCGGGGAAGTGGCCGGCTGAGCCGAACACTGTCCAGGAGTCGAGTAAGATGAGCAGTGAAGCATGTCTGGGTTTTGAGTAATATGATGCCAGGCTATCCAGTAGTGGTTTCAGTATGTGATAAACAAGCAATTTACTACCCCTAACGGAATCATTTCTGAGAGAGTACTGTTATTGGTACAGGTCGCTATTTGGTTTCATAACCACAAATGGCATATCGTCTACAGAATTTCAAATGAAAATATCAGCTGTGTATTTTTCACTATTGATCATTCTGACCTCTGAAGTTAAAATTTTATTAATATTTTAAAAATATCATTTTAAAATATCTTGGAGGTTAAAGAACAATAATAAATGTAACTTATGTTTTAAGCCTGATTCTGTTAATGTAACTTTTCAATTCTGGAATCAAAATGTTTTCAGTCCTTTAGAGCAAGCCCCATTTCACCTGGGCTCTTTTCAGGTTTGTTAAGTAGTCTAACAGATTTGCATCCTAAATCTAGCTCCACCTCTCACTAGCTAGGTGACCTTGGTCAGATTCCTTTCTGGGTCTACTTTCTCTTCAGTCAAATGGCAACCATCATTCCCAACTTGAAGCTTATTGTGAGCAATAAATAATATCTGTGAAGCACCTGGCTTTATAATAAACTTTCCATTTGTCTCCTTACTTTATGGACTGTGCTAAAAAAAAAATCAATTAAAGTATTTTCATCTTAAATGAAAATATTTTCATTTCTAAATCCTATTAAAAATGAGTTGACTTCAGACAGAGAAAGACAAATATGACATCACTTATATGTGGAATCTAAAGAAGTGATACAATTGAACTTATTAACAGAACAGAAATAGACTCACAGACATAGAAAACAAACTTATGATTACCAAAGGGGAAAGGGGGGAGAGGAATAAATTGGGAATTTGGGGTTAACAGATACACATTACTATATATGAAATAGATAAACAACAAGGACCTACTATATAGCACAGGGAACTACATTCAATATCTTGTAATACCTTATAATGGAAAAGAATCTGAAAAAATATATATATATGTATAATTGAATCACTTTGCTGTACACCTGAAACTAACACAACACTGTAAATCAAGTATACTTCAATTTTAAAAAATGAATTGACTTCATAGATACCAATACTCTTATTACAGTCATTATTTAGAATTTGCTTTTTTACAGAGCTGAAGAACCTATGCATTACGGAAACATAATGTATGACAGAAGGGTGATCCGAGGCAACACTTATGCTCTGCAGACAGTACCACTGGTAAGTATAATTTGAATAGTATAACACAGAGCGTTCTTGTGGTGAAGGACCAATTTTTGTTTCTTTTAATTTCTAATCTGTTATAGACTAACACATTTATGAAATAAAATAAAGATGAATTGCTAGAAAAATGAAATGAAAAAAAAAAAAAGACATGCAAAATACAAACCAGATAGTGGTTGCCAGGGATGGGGGAATAGGGAGTAGTTATTTAATGGGTACGGAGTTTCCTTTTTACAAGATGAAAAGAGTTCTGGAGATGGATGGTGGTGACGGTTGCACAATGTGAATGTAGTTAATGCCACTGAACTGTGCACTTAAAAATGGTTAAGATGGTAAATTTTATGTTATGTGTATTTTACCACAATTAAAAGTATTTTTAAAAATACAAACCCCAATTTTTTACTAGGTTAATAGAACAGTGGAGATCTATTCTAAAAGTTTCCAAATGTTTACTCTCAGTTTCTATAATTAAATTGTTATAGACCAGTTCAAATAGCTCACAGACAACACGAGTCTGAGGACCACACTTTCAGTAGCACTGGTCTAATATATTTAGGTTTGTTTAAATTATCTCATGCTCCAATACTGTTATCATTATTTAATCAAAAAGCCTGAATTATGCTTCTTTTCTTTAGTTCACTCAACAAATATTTATTGAGTTTTAAGTCCTGTGCTGGGTATGTAGGTTACAGAGATGAGTAAGATATAGTGTGATATTAAGAATGATTTCTTGGGGATTGACATATGTGCTCTAATATGTATAAAATAGATAACTAATAAGAACCTGCTGTATTAAAAAAAATTAAATTTAAAAAAAGAATGATTTCTTGGCACAGAAATGAAATATAGTTAACTTGTAAACACTATTTGACATATAAATGCTTAACACCACATGGGATGTATGGGATGTTAGACATTCTGAATCAGCATATATCAAAATCACCTAGAAAACTCAAAAATGTATATGCTTCAGCATACCATGCATCTACTGCATTAGAACCTCCAAAAGTTGGACACAGGGGTATGTAGTATTAATAAACTTCCCTGGGCCATTCTGGTACAGCCAGTTCAGGGGCCAGCATTTAGAAACAATAGCTCAAACATGTGATATAGACATGTTCCAGCGTTTTCTTGTGGCAGTAGCAATGAATACTGCCAGACCTCAAACAAGAGTAGAATGGAGAATCACTGCTTTTTTAGTCCTTTTTAAAAAAATTAATATTATGATGATTTGGTACATTTTTTTTTAGTTCTTTAGTCAGTTCATCAACACCTCACTTTAAAAGTATACTCAGACTTCCAATTCCAGACATGTAGGAATTCACCAATTCCTTCCTATTCCTTCTTTTACAACTAAAAAACCCTGGATGTAGCACCACAAACAAACAGGAAGATTCTGAAAGGTAGAAAGAAGAAAGTGGACTGGCTAGGAACCTCTGGACTTGAACAACATGGCAATGAGTCCATGGGTTTTCTTTTTGCCTCTCACATATCCCAGAGTGCCAGAGAAGCCTGCAACCTGCAACCACGAACACCCTGGAACCTGGCACACCCTAAGAAAAGCCTGCTCCCTCTGTCCAAAGGTAGAGGGTGGCCTCGTGCAACAGAAACCTTCTTACCATTGTAGCCCTCCTCCAGCCACACACCAATGGATAAACCGCCCTGCCCCTCCACATGGCCATTGGTGAGGCTAAGGTGGAGAGCTGGACCTTTTAACATCTCCACGTGACAGCAACAATCAGTCCTCTGATTAATCCATGGAGTTGGTGTCAACAAGGGCAGAGCAGGAGGCTGAAGTGCCACCTCACCCGGGGCAGTGAGGTGGTAAGAGATGGTATAAATGGATACCCTACTTTTTCTGGGGTGGCATCAGCTGAGCCAGGAGGGAGCTGAATTTTCAACCCTACCTGACGGCAACAAGGAGGAACAAGGTAGTAAGAGGCAGTGCTAGCCAGAACTCAACTCCTCTACACTCCAACGCTAGTGTCAGTGGAGCATAGCAAGGAGCTGAACTATCACCCCCACCTGGCACCAGTGAGGTGATGCAGGTTGGCACCCTGCTTTCACTGCATGGTGGTAAACTTTCCTCTCCACTCACACCTGTGCACTAAAACAAAAGGGGTGACTTCCTGCTAAAACGGTTAAGACCCATAGTCTCACAGCATAATACCCAACATGTCCAGAAGACAATTTAAAAATCACTCAATTGTACCAAGAACCAGGACAGTCACAACTTGAATGAGAAAAATCAATCAAGAGATGACAACACCAAGATGACTCAGATGTAGCAGTAACCTGACAAGACTTTTAAAGTGGTCATCATAAAAATACTTCAATCAAAAATGAACAATTATGAACTTTCTTGAAACAAATGGAAAAAAATAGAAAATCTTTGCAAAGAAACAGACAAGATTAAAATGAACCAAATGGAAAATATAGAACTGAAAAATACAATAACCAAAATAAAAACCTCTCAGATGGACTTATTGGAGATGACATAGGAAACAGTCAGTCAATACAGAAACAAATCAGTGGAATTACCTGGTCTGAAGAACAGGTAGAAAATAGACGCCTGCCCCCAAAAAAGCCTCAGAGATCTGAGGAACAATAACAAAATATCTAAATTCAGTCCCAGGAAAGGAGGAAAAGTGTGGGATTTGAAAAAATACTCAAAGAAATAGTGCCTGAAAATTCCACGAGTTTGACAAAAGGCATAAACCTACAAATTTTCACCAAGACACATCAAAATCAAACTTCCAAAAGCAAAAAACAAAAAAAGTCTTGAAACCAAGATTAGGGAAATACAAATTAGAGAAATACAAATTAAAACCACAATGATGTAACTACACACCTGTTAGAAAAGCTAAAATTTTAAAATAATAGTAAGATAAAGTGCTTGTGAGGATGTAGAGCAACTGGAACTCTGGTAGATTGCAGTTTGAAATGTAAAATGGTACATTGACCCTAGAAAATCGTTAAGTGGCTGCTTATAAAAACTAACAAGCACTTACCATTCAAGTCCACAATTTAACTCTTAGACATTTATCCCAGAGAAATGGGAACATATGTTCACATATTAACCTGTTCACAAATGAACATTTGTAGCAGCTTTATTCATAATAGCCAAAAAACTGAAAAAACCAAGTGTCTTTCAGTAGGTAAATGGTTAAACAAACCTGGTACATTCATGCAATCAAGCACTGCTAACAAAAAGCCATGAGGGCTTCCCTGGTGGTGCAGTGGTTAAGAATCCGCCTGCCAGTGCAAGGGGACACAGGTTCAAGCCCTGGTCTGGGAAGATCCCACATGCCACGGAGTAACTAAGCCCGTGCGCCACAACTACTGAGCCTGCGCTCTAGAGCCCGTGAGCCACAACTGCTGAGCCCATGTGCTGCAACTACCGAAGCCCATGCGCCTAGAGCCCGTGCTCTGCAGCAAGAGAAGCCACTGCAATGAGAAGCCTGTGCACCGCAACAAAGAGTAGCCCCTGCTCGCAGCAACTAGAGAAAGCCAGAGTGCAGCGGCGAAGACCTAACCCAGCCAAAAATAAATAAATTAAATACATAAATTTTTTTTAAAAAAAGGAATGAACTATTGATACAGGTAATAACCTGGGTGGACCTCAAGGACATTATGCTTAGTGAAAAAAAGGCAATCTCAAAAGGTTACATTCTGAATGATTCCTTGTATATAACATTCTTAAAAAGACAAAATCTAGAGATGGAGAACAGAATTGAAGGTGGGACTTGGAGAAATATAAAAGAGGCTCCTTTGGGGCAATGAGATAGGTCTCTATCTTTATTGTGGTAGTGGTTACACAAATCTATATATAAAATCATATAGAATAATATACACAGACACAAATCAATGCCTGTAAAAATTGTGAAAACCGAGTAAGATCTGTTAATATCTTATATGTTAATTTCCTGATTTTGATATTTTGTTATAATTGTATAAGATGTCACCATTGAAAGAAGCTGGGTGAAGCATACACAGGACGCTATGTACAATTTTTGCAAATTTCTGTGAATTATTTCAAAATAAAACTTTTTTAAAAAGAGATTATAACTAGATCTGAAACAGTTAAGTTAGGCAATGCATTTCTAAAATGAACTTGTTGTATTTCTGTTACCCTAAATCTTTCAAGGCTGACATTTATAATTCTATTACATTAAAAAATAGAAATAAATCAAGCATGATATTTATAATGTAGAATATACACATTATACAAAGGAAAAGTCCTCCATTGAAGAATCCCAAAATGATATTAGTAATTGTATTAGAAAAATAAAACTGTAGGTGATATTTCTTTCTTTTTGGTAAAGATATTTCTTTCTTTTTGGTGGTTATTTTATAATAAAAGGAAATGATAACTATGTAAGGGAAGAGCTATTCTATGACAGGTATTGTGTTAGACTTGTTATATTATCATCTGATTTGTTCCTTATAATCTAAAACTTAACAGATGTTATTCCCATTGTACAGATGAGAAAACTGAATATCTGAAAATGTGGGTTATTAGTCCAAGCTTTACTAATCCTAGTAATTAATAAATTAAGGAGTTGGAATTTGAGCTTCAGAGCCAATGCTCTTCTTTCCACTATATAATGTGAATATGGGGAAAATTTACGATAGGTAGTGTTAAGTTAGGAAAACAGTATAAAATGTATGGTATCACCACAACTTCACAAACACTGTATGCATTTCAATAGCAGTAGCCATTGTATTAGGAAGATGGGATTATAGGTAATTTTCTTTTTTCTTTTTTAAAAAACTACAATTTCAATTAAAATGTTTTTAGAAGTCTAATTTTAAATATTAAAAATTTTCATGTAAAGTACTTTTATATTTCTCCTTTTCTTTTCATATTTACCTTGAGATAAGATAAGTTAGCTATAGAGAAGGACTACAGAATTAGATATGAATATGAAATCAAGGACTGCCACATATTGCAGGACTACTGTGAATAATTATACTTTTAATCCCTTAGCTACTATTTTGTGCACTTGGACAGACTTCGTTTGGACTGAGGATATTTTCTTTGTGAGCTAATATAGTTTTTAAGGAAATTCTGTCCATGAAATCAGATTTTTAAAAAATTCGAGCGCTTTTCAATTTCTTAACTACACATTAAAATTTACTGTGACTGAATGGTTGTATCGGTTTACTAGGCCCCAGAGGAGTTCATGGTAAAAATCCTTGAATGAGGAAAAACAATTTATTAGATGGGATTCTGCACCCATTTTAATTAACAGTCATAAATTGAAGTTACTTTATATGTTTTGTCAGATACCTTTGTAATTACCAGACAAAGTTCAAATAAATTTTTAATCATCAAGTCACTGATGATAATCAAGAGGCATTCTCTGACAGAGGCTTTTATACCATCCAGGAATCACTTTTGGAACAGCAGTCCTATATGCTTTGAGAAATATTTTCTAAATTTTAGAAGCCTTTTCTGTCACTCAGCCTGAGCAGCCCGATCCTGCAGAGATTCAGAGACAGCAGCAGGCTAAGAGGAGGGCTCTTGCCAAAAAACGAGCCCAAGAAGAGCTCAGACCACGAACGCCCGAACCCGTGGAAGGCAGAAAGCATGTAGATGTACAGACAGGTATGTGGGCCCGCCATTGGCATGGTGGCTCCTGGGTGTGCTTGGTTTTCTAAGTCAGTTCATTTTATTTGGCCTTTATATTATTTATGTGTCTGTTATGCTGTCCAGTACTTCCCCAGTCACATGGTAGGAGAAGTCCCTTCATTAAACAAACTCATAGACTATATATTATTATTATATTGGGTATGGCTGCAAGTATGAGATGGGGTTTTTGAAAAAAGAATTTAATGACCAAATTAAGTTCTCTCTTAGCCCTTTTCACATATTCTATTCTCAAACTGGCATTATTTCTTACTTTTTATAGCCCAACATGAATCAGTGTTGGACCAACAGGAGAGGACAGCAATCTAGTTTTATTTTGGTGTTTTTGTCTTTTGAGGGGAGTAAACCCATTTAGATCTGAGTCCCCCACTTCTCTCACCATGGCCTCTTCTTGTCTCTCCTTTTGTTCTCCATTCGCTTTGCTTACTCCCCAGGGCCATTCGGGCTTTCCTAGGCTAGTGCCAGGCTTTTCCTCTTGTTTGACTGTTGTCAGCTGTGGAGGCTTACCTAGATCTATAGGGTCTAGCTGTGTTGTTGATAGAATCTTGATAGTCAAACAGTACTTGGTGTTCTCCTTGGACCAGTGTAACTACTCAGCATTCACCTTGCACCCTGCCAAGATGGTGAGTAGATTCATCTGAGATATTTCTGGATAATAAGGATGAAAGGAAGAGGACCATTCCGTGTTTTTTCCCTACGTTGAGGCCAAGTGTAGAATGAGTATATGTCTGTGATTAGCCAACATAGTTGTAATTCTGAGAGAGCTAAATTTTAGTGTTTATTTATACCATCAGAATATTAAGTGATGGAATAGCAGGTACTTTTTGTTGAGTATTTCTTATATCTCAGAGACTACACCAGGTCCTTTTCCTATGTATCTCCTTTATTATTACAAAGACTCCATGTGACTGATAATTATGAGCCCTTTTACACATAAAGAAACTGAGGCCCAAAGAGGATGTAATTTGGCTGGGTTCTGTGTTCAACATCTGACTCCGATTCTCATGTTCTTTGCGTGATACCATACTGCCCTTGCCTCATATAAATTATTCCTAAGGTGAAATTTGGTTTCATATGTCTGTTTATAATATGTAGACTAGAGGGAACATCAGGTAACACAGTGACATGGTGCATAGTTTTTTTAAATATCCAGGAATTTTAAAATCTTTATAAGTTGACTATCTTAGGACTCGTTAAATAAATGGATCGTTAACTTTGCATCCTGTGTTATACTTTGTGTCTTACGTACATCTATGGTTTCATGCTCTTCTTTAGTTCTGTTTTCAAATACAAAGCACAGTGCTTTCTCAACATTTAATTAATGTTCTAGCCTGAGTAACTCTATAGTCTTCCAAATATTATAAAAACGCTTAGCACACTATGTGAATTGAACCCCACATTTGAGTACTTTTATTCCAAGACTTGTTTTCTGATCCATTCAATTCTATTTTGAAGGGACTGTAGTTTCAAATACTTGGAATAGACCAGAATTTCAAACTCAATGTATATGGTGTTCTCTTAGAATTATACCTTGAAGAAATTGCTGACCGCATAATAGAAGTTGATATGGAATGCCAAACAGATGCATTTTTGGACAAACCACCAACACCGCTCTTTATTCCTGCCAAAACTGGCAAAGATGTGGCCACCCAAATTCTAGAAGGAGAGGTATAGTACATTATTGGACTTCCCTCTATCTTCTTTATAAATAGTTAAAGTTAGGTTTACTTAAAAGCTTAACATGAATACAAACCACTTCACAGTCAAGAAGATTCTACTTACTGCATTTCTTTCCAAATTTATCAATAATAGTTTTATACTGAGCTACCCAGAAATGTTATTTTTTAAATTATTTTTTAACATCTTTATTAGAGTATAATTGCTTTACAGTGGTGTGTCAATTTCTGCTTTATAACAAAGTGAATTAGTTATACATATACATATGTCCCCATATGTCTTCTTGCATCTCCCTCCCAATCCTACCCCTTCTTGCATCTCCCTCCCTCCCACCCTCCCTATCCTACCCCTCTAGGTGGTCACAAAGCCCCGAGCTGATCTCCCTGTGCTATGCGGCTGCTTCCCACTAGCTATCTATTTTACGTTTGGTAGTGTATATATGTCCATGCCACTCTCTCGCTTTGTCCCAGCTTACCCTTCCCCCTCCCCGTATCCTCAAGTCCATTCTCTAGTAGGTCTGCATGTTTTTAAATACCATGATCTCATTTTCCCTCTTTGCTGTTCAGAAATAAAAATTTTTAGAAATGTTTGTAGAATATTTACATATTTAATTTTTGTGCGTTTGCATACTTGCTTAATATATGAATATTAAGGTAGATTTGTACCAAATAAAAGTAATATCTCTGGTATAAAAAGTTCCACTGTTAGTTCCTTGTAGATTACATAAATTTTATGAAGATGATCTATGTTAAGAAAATAATCCTGAAATAATTACATTTTCATATCAGTGTGGAATGCATAAATAGGCCAGTTTATGAAATTGAAGAAGAGAAGGCAGTCCTTATGTACATAATGACTTCAGTGAGATTTAAGATTTGAAGGAATTTGAAAGTACGGTCGTTGAGATTGGGAAATTAAGTTTTCATAACCTACATAGAAGGGTATATTTGCCTCGAAATCCTAGAGATGAATCACCAAAATATCCGTTATTCTTGTTCCTTTGTTCTTCAAACCGTTATCAAAATGACCAGTAAAAACTGAGCAGAAAAGGCAGAGAATAAGAAAGACGGACATTTCCCTTGGGTTTCAGAGTTTTATCTGAAAATTGTTGAGTATCGAGGTTCATTCTGATGATTGCATAGGTCTTTTTTATAACTTAGACTCAATCATTTTTTGCTTGTAAACAGCCTGTGTGCCCTTCAGGCTATTTTGAGGATCAGAAACCATAAATAAAACACCAGCACAGTGTCTGGCACACAGAAGACACTCAATAAATAGTATTCTGTTATTGCTACTCTTCCGGATATTTTTTCACTGAGCCTTTGGTTCATGATTACAATTTTAAACTTGCTTTGTTTTGTGTGTTTAAGCTCTTTGACTTTGATCTTGAAGTTAAACCAATGTTAGAAGTTTTGGTGGGAAAGACCATCGAGCAGTCTCTTCTGGAAGTAATGGAAGAAGAAGAGTTGGCGAACCTGCAGGCCCGTCAGCACGTACATGAGGAGTTACGCAACGTCGAGCTTGCGGAAGTTCAGCGACTTGAAGAGCGGGAGAGACGACACCGAGAGGAAAAAGTATAGAATTTTAGTTTCTCTCTTAGATTTTGGTTATTTAATAGACTATGTTCAAAATCACATGTAGTATGAACAGAGCTCAAGATCTTTGCAAACATATAGAAAAGACCTGTAGTAATTGTTGCTCAGGTCTCTCCTGTAGATCACAGATCTTTCCTGGACTGAATTACGTTTTTAAATTCCACTTTACATAAATGTACCTACACAGAGTTCCCAAAGTTCCTAAATGTAACAATTTAAATTACATATGTTCCAGTGAAAGGCACTCTTAAATATCAAGAGTGCTAGAGAAAGAAATAACGTGAATTTGCCCCAAGTCAGTGGCAGAGAAGGTGGCAGGAAAAAGTGGAGTATCTTTGGGTAGGTGGGCGGTAAGAAGCAGAAGATCTGCCTAGAATTCTGCATCTTATTCTCTGTGGTGAGCCTTGCTCCACATCTGTAGAGTCTACTACTTGTGTCTTTATAAAATATTTATACTTGGGGTCTTTATAGAATATTTCTCTAGATTATAGGTTTTTAGAACCTTTAATAAGAAAAGTTTTAGAATCCAATTTTTAAAATATGCCAGAAACCTCTAGTTAGGAAGCACGAGGCTCAGTAATCTTTAGATAAGAGTCTGTCTGGGTTTGGCAATAACTGTCACCCTGTATTAAAACACTGGCTGGATAAATGATGAAGGAGTTCCCAGACACCTGAAAGGGCTCAAAGAGTTTAGCTTACCACGCAGAATAGCTTAGTTGTCGGGACATTTTACCCAAAACCTAGTCAAATGGACTTTCAGTTCTCCTCCAAAGTGAATAATTAATTGTGTAAAGAGCATAGGGCTGATGGTAAAGATTGTGCAAATGCAGGATTATTTGTTCACAATTATAAAATGAACACTGACAGAATTAGCTTTGTTGAAATAATTGGTGAAGACCCTATCAAAAAAAAAGTTAAATTTGTTTATTTACTGTTAGGAAATATATTTTAAAAAATGAAGTCTACAAATCATCTAGATTTATATTTGCTTAAACTTTGAAAATAGATTTAATTAGAAAATATATTAATGTTCCCACTTGTACATAGGAGTAGAGAATAGTTCATTAGCTTCAGAGGTTTCATATGAGCTACAAGAAGCAACAACAACAAAAAGAGGTTTTATAATTTTCTGAACTTTATGAACTCAAAGAATCATTACAAATGAGATAACTTATTGGCCCAAGTTTTTAATCAAAGATATCTAAGCAACTGTAATTTTCATATCAGCAATACTTTAAAATACTAATTAAAAATACATATAACTGTTATTATTCTTTGATATCAGCCATACAGTCAAACATGTATGTCTTGAAATTATTTTACTTGAAAATGGATCAGGAAACAAATTTTACCTTAAGTTTCATCTCCTCTGAATTCAGTACCTACCTAGCTGTTGAAATTCATTAAAATCTTGATGAAAAACCTGAACTGGTAATAGACACCTCGCTGTTCATTTTTGGATACAAATATAAGTCCAAATTCTTCCCGCTCACTAGAGTCAGCATTTGGGGAAGACGTAATAGCTGAATAACCACCTGTGGTGGCGTTTGTCTCTGGGCAGGAACGTCGTAAGCAGCAGCAGTGGCAGGTGGTTCACAAGCATAAGGAGACTGCACAGAAAATCGCCGCCCGAGCGTTTGCACAGCGTTACCTGACCGACCTTCTCCCTTCTGTTTTCAGCAGCCTCAGGGATGCAGGCTACTTTTATGATCCTGTTGAAAGAGGTCTGTGGAGGTCTTTGTTAGATTAACTGTCTAACAATAAGCATCCTCTTCATGGTTCAGATTTATCGCGTGCCCATTTTTATTTTGAATTGGAATCTTTCTGAAACAAATTTTAAAATCAATTACAGTTGTTTTAAGAAAGAACTGTTACTAGTAAGAGGTGCATTATAAAGATCTTGATTTTAGGATGTTTACTTTCATTGAGAAACAATATTGGATAGTAGAAAGAAATACGGACTTGATGTCAAAAACTTGAGCTTGAATCCCAGTTTTATCATTAACTAAGCTCTATGACCTTCAGTCTCCTCCTGTGTGACACGAGGATCATTTAGGAGCTAAACGTCATAATGTAAATAAAACCTAAACGCGGACTTTTTCACCCAATACGTACTGCAGCATAGTACAGCCCGTGGTTGGTTGAAGCCGCAGATGCAGACCTGCAGATACAGAGGTCTGCCTGCGAAGTCATATGCGGATGTTTGGCTGTGCCTGCGGTCAGCAGCCCCAACCGCCATGTCCTTCAAGGGTCAGTTGTATATGTAATCTATACGTGTAAGTAGTTGTCGCTAAGTTTTTCTCAGTAGACTTCCTATTCCAATCAAAATCTCTTTGGGGACAGCTAGTGAGGTTATGTAATGAGGTGTTTATACTATCCCAGGCATTGTATTAAGTGTTGGAGGCTTCAACAACAACCAAACCAACCTGGTCTCTGCCTTGATAGAACCCGTACCTGTTAGCCATCTCCCAGCATCCCCTCAGAGCCACTCTCCTCAGCTTGGTGTGGCCAAACGGAGGGGAAGAGTTGGCACTTTCTCACTGCCGCCCTCCTTCCTCGGGTTCAAAAGCACTTACATCCATGCTGCTTTGTACACAGGTCCTATTTCAAATGGCTAATACTGTCTGAGGGCAGATACTAGCCATGTCAGTTTTCACCGATGACACACTGAATTCAATACATAAGGGTCAGGTTACAGACAAATATTATTAGTTTACGTTTCTATTGTACTTTGCAATTTTTGTCGTGTTTTTCACACATGATACCATTTGGCCCATCCGAAAGGGCTGTGAGGGAGGGAGCATGGCAGATTAAGTCCCATTTTTCAGAAGCAGAAACTGAAGCTCAGAGAACTTGAATTGCTCTTGGACACTCGGCGGGTGCTTAGGTCTGCACTGACTGGGACTCTGACTCCAGGTCCAGTGCCCTTGCCATGCTGCCAGCTTCCCGGGGTCCAGCTGGGCCTCTTGCTGTTAGTCACAGAGGCCAGCAACCTTTTCTGCGTTCATGCGTTGCTGGAAAAGTCAGTTATAGATCATTTAAAAGCTTGCAAAGGAGATTCATGCTTCAGATTAAGACTATTTATAGTAGTGAATATATATTCTATCACACTCTCTCTTGTCACCCATTGAAAAATAACAATTAGGTGCCTGCCCCCAAAAAAAGCTTTTTTTTTTTTTTGGCCATGCCGCACGGCATGTGGGATCATAGTTCCCCAACCAGGGGTCGAACCTGTGCCCCCTGCAGTTTAAGTGCAGAGTCTTAACCACTGCACCTCCAGAAACATCCCCCCAAAAAGCCATTTTAAAACATTAAAATGTATATTGTAAGGGACCTTTTTTTTTTTTTTTTTTTTTTTTGGCCGTACGCGGGCCTCTCACTGTTGTGGTCTCTCCCGTTGCGGAGCACAAGCTCGGGACGCGCAGGCTCAGCGGCCATGGCTCACGGGCCCAGCCGCTTTGTGGCATGTGGGATCCTCCCAGACCGGGGCACGAACCCACGTCCCCTGCATCGGCAGGCAGACTCTCAACCACTGCGCCACCAGGGAAGCCCAGGGACCATATTTTTTAAAGGCTTATACCATAGAGTAGATTTCCATTTCAGTTTGAACAAATTGATCACTAATGGAAACACCTCGTTTCCAACCCATTTCTACATGGCCTTCTTAGATGCCCTCTGACCCTTACCTCTGAATCTTGATCAGCTTCTGTCGTCCCCAGGCTTCAGCTGGGCTTCAGGTGGAGGTGCCAGCATTGCTCAGTCCTGGCTTTGCATTGCATTTGGCTTGGAGTTCTGCTCCCAGTTCCACACCCCCTGCTTCCACCCCCACCCCCCGCCTCCTTGATTCATCTCACATTGCACCTATAAAGTCAGTTCTAACACCTTTGACCCCAAGGAAGGCCTCATAGTTCTAAAAATACTGTTTCTACTGCAATTGAACAGAAATAGACCAGAAGATATATAGAGAATGTGGTAACAACAAAAGTGATGCTGTATGAGTCTATTTGACATTTTATAATAAGAAAACAATATTGATGTATCTGTAACATTAGGGGAAAACACAAATTCTTCCAATCTATAATGATTCCTAAAGATCACTTAATGAAGTTAACTTTTTAAATTACAGATATTGAGATGGGATTCCTTCCATGGCTAATGAATGAAGTTGACAAAGCCATGGAGCGCAGCATGGTTGGAAGAACAGTGGTTGACAGTAAGTTCTTTTATTTTATTATTTGAAAGTCATCTCTGAAATTTTTCAGTAGAAAGAATATATAGAAGAAAGATATTTTAAACTTTTGGTTCTTAAATTTTCAGTATACCAGTTATATTAACAAAGGTACATAGTTTTACCCTCAATATTAATTTTGGTTCTTGTATAATTTGATCAGAATTAATATCTTCTGTCATTATTTTATAAGTTATATTCTGTTAAAACGGGCATTGACTATAATGCATATTTAGCGCATTAAGTGGCACAGAAGGTAAGTATGTTGACTTTATATAAAAGGTCACGATACAGGGAAGGGACGAGGGCTGGTGAATATTTTGTACTCATCTGTAAGTCAGCATTATAACTACCAAAATACGAAAAATCACAGTGATTTCTGCACCTATAATTTCTCAGTGTTGATCCGTGAGGTGGTTGGGAAACGACTGAGTCTGTATGAGCGTAAGGAGGACAGGCACTCGTCTCTGAAACCTGAGGATGGGCTCAGTGGTCCTGGAGGAATGAGAGACCCACCGGTGGGCTACGAGTTCCAGGATCACGGTGCATCACAGGCACAGAGGCCACTTCCAGACACAGACTCCCTGCAAAGAACACCATATGATGCAATGTATATGGAGAGAGTGTCATCCCAAGACAGGAAGCTTATGGAAGAAGAGGATGAGCAAACAAATGAGGAAATCCTTCAGGAGTGAAGAACTGTTGCAATAGAGGGGAGCTTCGGAGCCGTGGAACCCAGCAGCAGCCAGTCAGCTTTGCGAGCAATCAGGTAACGATGCGCGAGTCCCCTCAGGTTGTGTGCTAGGTTGTGTTTAGTCAACATGTCTTCTTGTCCGATGGACTGAGCAAATCAAATACGTTGAAATAATAAAACTAATTTTTAAAATGAAACTTTATTTAATAGTAGACTATTTAGAAGCTATATTATAACTTTAATGAGAATTATGTCTAATTACAAGCTTCCCATTACCAGTATATATAACTAATGAATGTATTTTTCCTTAGCCCTTCCATCACCACTGTGTAACTAATATATTTTTACTTACTCTTCCCATTACCACTATATATAGCTAATATATTTTTCCTTAGTTTTGTGGTTTCGTTCTTTTTTTAGTAAGTATGCTATTTAATGTTAGATATCAGTGCTGTCAGCCATTGAGCTTTTCTTCTCTGCAGAAAAACTGTTTAACTTACTCTAACCAAGAATCCCTAAATGTTGGGTAACTGAAAGCTATAGTGCTCTCTCCTTGCAAAGACCAAGAAGTATACCCATATTTGTATAAAATTAAACAGATAGTTACCCCTTCAATCTTCAATCTTCAAGTAATGCTCAAGGGATTCTATGAATTAGTAATATGCTCTCATCTAGTTTTTCACATTCCTGCTATTAAAAAATTTCAGGCAATGCCAATAAAGCTAAAAGTCCCTCCTCAGAGACGACCACTGTCATCGATCAGGTGTGTACCTTCCAGGCCTTTTTCAAGATATTTTTATAGATATAGATTTGAACACCTGGAAGTATATGGGATGTGTTATTTGCATTTTTCACCTAACAGTATATCTTAGACCTTTCAACATTAGTACATATAAATCTCTTTTTAAAATATGGTAAGATATTACCTAGTATGACTGTGTTATAGGGAATTACCATTTGACTTTTTAATCTGAACTTCTCTGGTGAATTTACCTGCACTATTGAAAATCACAGATATTTTATTTCTGAAATTATGAATCTTTAATCACTGAAGTCTTCTGAAGCTTTAGGTAGATATAGTCTGTTTTTCTCAGAATATTTATAAATATATAATATTAAAAATATATATAAATATTTATAAATATATAAGTTATTTGAAATAGCTTGCAGTTATTAACACACTTACTTTAGTTTCTTTTTTCTTTTAAAGATTTTTTTTGATGTGGACCATTTTTAAGGTCTTTATTGAATTTGTTACAATATTGCTTCTGTTTTATGTGTTTTGGTTTTTTGGCCACAAAGCATGTATCGTCTTAGCTCCCTGACCAGGGATCAAACCTGCACCCCTTGCATTGGAAGGCGAAGTCTTAACCACTGGACTGCCAGAGAAGTCCCAACCTTAGTTTCTTTTTAAATTAGGTATTAAAAATATATAAGAACATCTTTCTCCATTTGTAAAATGAACTGCACTGTATGTCTCTATAGCATTTTTCATGATTCTCAAGCTAATTCCCCACATATTATAACCCCACATCATTTTAACCTCAGAGCAACTTCTGCGGTGTATGTGACAATATTTTTATTTTCATTTTCAATCAATCTTTGGTTTGTTCAGCCAGCAAACATTCACTGAGTGCCTTCTGGGTGTGGAGCACCTTGAGGAGGCTGCCTAGTAGTGGAGCTGAGTGAAGCAGGGGTAAAATGAGGAAACCACAGCTCAGGGGTTTTAAGTGATTTGCCCTAAGTGACAAGCCTAGTAAGTAATGGGATGAAAGCTGGAGCCCCAATCTCCTTCCTTCTAATCTACTATACTTTCTTCTGAACAACCTTGAACCTTTGTGAGGTGCAAAGAATAACTTCAAGTAAATTATTGCATTAACAGCATTTTAAAAATTGGAATCACTTCTGTCATTCATTGCTGGGTTAGTTCCATCTTGTTAAAAAGTCATTACGATCCTCCTAAAATTTACAAAATACTAATTTTGGTAGTAAGACCAGGAAATTTTTTTTAATTGGGATTGTTGTGGATCACTTTTATTATGGGTTGTTCAATACCCACAATTTTAAGAATGCTTTCTAGATGGATTTGAGGTTGATTATCTTCTACAATTCTAACCTGCCTTTACAGTAAGCCAGTCCGTTAAACACTTTGCAGATGTTTTGCTAAACATCCAGTTCTGAGCTCTATAATTCCATAAGTTAATTCAGTTTATTAAATATACCTACATCTGTAGACCCCACACTGAAGTTGGTTAAGCTTAACTGCCATCCTGTTCCATCCTAGAGAGAAAAAAAATAGTTGAGGAGTTAGGGCACTGTCCCGTGAAGCCGGTTATATATTATCTGTAGGAAAAAATACTGAATGGAAACTTTAAATTGGCTATGCTCACATTTGCTAATACTCTTCTTACGAGTTCCGTTCCTTTCTATTTTCAACCAACACTAAGCTAACAGAAGCTAAATAGTAATAAAACGGATAACATGTAATAACTTTATAGAGATCGTCATCCCTGACAAAAATTCCCATATCACTGAAATAGATCTGAAAGGTAGGAGTGATTTTCTCTAGTGTAGGTGTCATGGTGTTTAAGCCATTCTGACTTCTGTTGAGCTGAGGAATATTGGCGTGGGCTGAGAAGTCACTCAGAGCATCACATGGTGGTGACTGAAAGCAGACACCAGAGCCAGACTGCCTGGTCCTGAGTTCTTCACCACGCATAAGGGGTTTGCCTCTGTAGTTGGGAAAAAGAACTGTTTTATCAGACTGTGGTTTATTTTGAAAACATGTAGGAGAGTGGAGGTTTTGCAGAAGGAAAAAGTATTTGGACATGATAGTTCCTTTAAAACTCATAATGGGTGTGGGAGAAGTGGCATTTTGCATATCATATCAAAATGTTATGGTACCATAACCATCCGAATGTTAATGGTACTCATTTCTTCGAACCTAAAAAACTTTCATTTTCTTGTCATGTTGTTAAAACATATTAACCACATCAGCTAAATATTTATCTATAATTTTAGTTTTCATATGTTTTATTTACTATGCAAAATCTGTTCCATTCTGCTTTTCTCTTTTGTTTGTAGGTGACTCACAGTTTTATTATGTATTCTGTAGCTCAGTAGCCATAGCCATTTATCTCAGTTTATTTAGCATAAAGGCATTCTGAAGAGGCCCAAATATGGGTTTGATTTCCCCATAGCCCAATTAACACCTATTGTTTTTTAGCCATAGCTCCTAGGTCTAACCAGAACCAACCTTCTCCAAGCTTCTCCAAGTTTGTTCACAGAGACCCAAACAAAAATGTTACAGATCAGGTGTCACTATCATGAAAAACTACTATTAATGGTATTGGATTGATGTCTCTAATTCTCCCTTTGAATTAGAGCATATTAACCTTTCTGTTTTAGTGCTTTCAACTTACAGATTAAAATTTAATAAATTGATAGCTTAGGTGATATTTTTCTGTTTTTCATAAACCATGAAAATAGCATAAATGAAATATATGAGTTAAAAGATACAGTAGTGGTGTTATAGGTTTGCTTATAAATAAAATCAATCAAGGTATCGAAGTTTGAAATTTCAGTATAAAAATATAACATTTAAAGAATTTAAAATTCTTTTTGAAAATAGAATTTGAAACATTAATACATTTTTATCACAATGTGCATTTATAACTTTTGTAAATTATACATTTTGTTGTTATACATCTTTATATTTATAATGAACTTGTGTGTATGGTCTTCTAACATTTTGGATTATATTGATGTCTATTTTTACCACTAGGTGTCAGTAAATCCCTAGAGTAAAGTTGACTTGCCTCCAACGTCATACATAATTTAATGACCCTAAAGAGACCTTGGTAGACAAAGAGTTCAGAAATATATTGTACTCCTTGGAGACTCTAGACCAGGGGTCCCCAACTCCTGGACCGCGGATCACTACCGGTCCTCAGGCTGTCAGGAAGCGGCCGCACAGCGGGAGGTGGGCAGCGGGCCAGCAAGCAAAGCTTCATCTGCTGCTCCCGTCACTCGCATTACCGCCTGAACCATCTTACACCTCCCCTATCCCTGGAAAAATTGTCTTCCACGAAACCAGTCCCTGGTGCCAAAAAAGTCGGGGACTGCTGCTCTAGACTCACACTGAATATTTTATCTTGCCCTAAAGTCATCTGCCAGCTCTGCAGGGACTGCAGCAGACTCCACCCTGTACCTCAGACCCTTAAAATGGTGGTGTTAGAATGGACGTTAGCTGTATATACTCCAGTCTTCTATCCAATACAGCATCCTTAACAGGTGGTCACTTAGTCTTTGTTTAATCACTAAGGACGGGGCTTTCCCTTTATGAGCTGCCCTAGAATAGTGATTCTATCTTATTTAGTTTTGTCTCCCCAGGCTCAAGCTATGGTAAATACTTAGTCAATTACATTGTTTGACAGTTCTCATTATGAGAAATCTCTTCTATACTGAGTCAAAATCTGTCCCATTATAACCTATTCTTTTTCGTTTATAACCTGTAATCAATTGGCATGATTATGGTGGAGGGAGACAGAATAATTTTATTACCATACCAGCACTGTCCTGTACTCCAATAGTTTTTTCTTTTTTCCAAGTTTTTCTTTCTCCCAATGAAGTACCACCACTGTTCCCAATTATTCCTTGTATGGCATAGTTTTAGAACTACTCACTCTCCATCCTGGTTACTGTTACCTTGAAATTCCTATTTGGTCAAAGTCATCTTAAAACATGTTACCCAAAATTAGGTATCCTACTATAGATATAATCTGACTCAGCAAGGAGTATTGTGGGACTATTATCTCCTATGATTTGGACATCACCAACTCACTTCTTCTAAATTCAGATATCTAGAAACCTCATTTTTAGAGCATAAGAGAGAGAAAGTCAAAGTGACTTCTGAGCAGTCACAGTGTCCGAGTCCACACATTTTGCCATGGACCATCTAAAGCTATTCTAACATTGCTTCCCAATTGGGCTGTTTATTAACCCCACAGCGTATTAGAAGTAGCATATTGACAAGGAGAGAGGGACTGCTATGGGAAGACCGTGGGCTAACATTT